CCAACCTCATTGGTGTTTGGAAGAACAAGAGACGTTTTAGTTGTATGCATGCACCTTCAGCTCTGAGGCCATAACGAAAAAATTCAAAGCTATCTCGTTTTAAAATAGGAAAATCAAGCGTAATATATTAAGCACGAACTTCTAGTATTATTTGTTTTTATCGACTTACTTAAGTCATCTCAACATGTGGTCATTTTTCAAAATTTGTAAGCACTTCCACCTTAAAGTTAAGTAATCCAATGTGATGAATTGAAACCTTCATTACATTACTTGCTGTCAACACTTATTATTTTTTTTTTTTACAATAGCTTGAGTTGTCGATTTGAATAGTACAATAAAGAGAGTAGATTTTTCTCTACACACAAAAACAAAAAAAAAACGTTGTCAATAAATGCAGTAGTCCTCGTATAATCGCCTCACTTGGCTAACTAATATCTGCTATATGTCTTTTTGTTGCTATGAATTGGCGGCAAAGTCAATGTTGGTGCCTTATCTAGTTTTACACTGCATTTACTGAGATAGTGAAGCCATCCTCCTCATAAGGAGTGCTGAGATAATCAGTGCAAGTGTAGCCACATGGTATTGTGCGAACTCAGATCAGATGAGACTACTAACGGTGGTTACTACGATATCTCTGTCTTTGAAAGCGCACTATTCGTTTGCGCGGTCGCCGAGCGCTGCAGGACTCACCTTCATCAGCAGAGTGACGTTTTTCGTTGTAGATTCTACCAATTGGTTTGAGCCGGATGTGTCGAATGTGTTTGTGTTGCAATCTACTAATAAACTGACTATCGTAGATGTACATGTGCACATGTACACATACAGCCACAGCCAGACGGACCTTGAGTAGACATTCACAGTCCTCCATAGAAAGTGCTACTAATCTCGCCTGGTGTACTCTTATGTCAATTCTTTCGCTGCACTGGCTGAGCGTGCGTTGTAGATCGTCCAAAATGATGAACTGACCTAGTCGGTTCTAGTAGTAAGAGGAACAACGTTACAGGGAGCTTAATAATATCATTGAAGCTTGCTATCTACATCTATCAACGCCTGATAAACTGCTAACGGCTATGTCTAATTTTTCTATACTAATTACCGGCGTTCGAATCAAATGGAAGCCATAACGAGGCATTCCTGAAGGAGTGTGAGCTCTACGAAAACAGAAAATTGTCTGAGAAACGTAACTACTATTATTATTCTACTAGAGCACAGCAGCTGTGCGTAAATATCTCTTGAAAAGATGTTGCTAACGGTAACATGTCTCTGTGCCGATTCAGAGGTTACCGTCGATTCATCATCGGTGAGCATCGATTCCCTGAAAATGATGACCTTCTACTATCCTGTTATCCTGTAGCAAAGGTGGGAAGCTTAATAGCTAAAATCTACATACATCTCTATATTATAGCGTGTTGCGGCGTAATGGCAGAGGCCCCCTGCAAGTAAAATACGTATACCAGGTTCCCATGGTAGCAATCACTACGTGTCTTATATAAGTATCCAGTTAACCCAATGACGGCATTCCTCACATGCGACACAAAACCTCAGACTAATTCTACGAGCACCCATTTCTAGCTGGTCCCGGTACAATGGGTGTTCGCCTGGAGTGGCCTGAACTCGTTGGTCCGGCTAGCGCTTCGCAGCACTAGTGTTGTAATATGTAGCCTAGCTAGCACTCGTCGAGCTAACAACAGCGATCTTTCGGCAAAGGCTTCTGTTGTCTATTTTTCCATCATCTAGTACACACATATGCACACATCTACATACGCAAGCCATAACTCGACAAGCAAACGAGGTATGTCGCGATAGTCAGCGACGCTGCTACGCCTAGAGACATACCACACGCGCTCGTCGCGCCTGAAGAAGCGAAACACATCATTGATCACTTGGGTCGTTTGAGACGACTAGGTGGCGTATAGCACGAATGTCGAATCGACACGTGCGCATGTACGGCCATACATAGGGTCTTGCCTCTAGTACTGGGTAGCACCAGGCCTGTACCGCTCCTTGCCGCCCAAGTCCCTCGAATATTTGAACACTCACATTGTACATTAGGTTCGCATTTCATAACTTTCACCATGGCACCACGCCGCAGGCAGAAACACCAACAAGCAGCATATCTGCAGCTACGGCAGCAGTGACGATAGCAGGTAGGGAAGCAACCTTCGATATATATGCGTGTGTATGTGCATATGTATTGTGACGCATCAGGCCGATATCTGTTCTGATTTTACCAGGTGTAATGATGCTCGATTTTTTTTAGTAGCAAGCGTGCTGCTGCAACAGCGGCGACAGTGAGCGCAACGCTTCAACAAAACCGAGCATCCAGCCTACGCCTTATGTATTTTACACAATTTGCTGTTGCACATTGTCTACGATAAAACAGAACGTACGCCTATCGTACGCGTACGACTCTCCAAAGCCGGCCGAACTGAGTGACCGAGCTATAGATTTACTGGATGTGATGCTTCTGATCAAGCGCCACCTAGTTTTATCGGCACCAGCATGCAGATATATATGTATAATGTCTGCATCTCTCATTTTCAATATTATATCCATATGGCCTCAATCGAGTGTGAGGTGATACATCCTTCTTGCTACATATTGCTTGATAGTTATTTTATAGCTATCTATAGGAACCTCTGAATTTATGCAAGACAAATCAGTACAAGCACGACGCCTCTTTATCTATCCGCAGAAAAAGAAAAATTATAACACTCGATGTTTACTTGGGTTACGACGTTAATGACAATCTGTGACAGAATTACAGATAATCGCTCATTACTCCAAAGATAGCGAGTTTAGTATAGGGAATATTTATTTAGAGAAACACGATGCAATATAAAACAATATAGCAGAGTAAGCGTTGGTTAAGACCTGTTGATTCGTAAGGAGGAGGAAGGGGGGCCGTATCGTAGCACGATTGTTCCCCACCCAAAGACGCACGCCTAATGCTATCTTAAATAATATTAAAGTGTTTATTTTAGTCTACCCAAAAGATATCATTGTCTCGTTCCACTCTGCCATACTTGAGCCGCATACATGAGGCATCTAATAGATGTGCTGTCATTATAACTTATTGACTAAATTTACCCAATTTTTTTTTTCATCCTTGGATCCTATTTTCTTTGTCAAGGGTGAATATGGCTTCCGCGAAAGAACAACGTTGCCAACTAGGATATTATTAATCATCATAAATAGGCATACGAAGCATGCTATGTATAAGTATTTTAAGTTCATGAAAGCAAAACAAAAGGGCCTAGCTTGCAACAGTGTTTACTTTGAGTGGGGACATTACGTGACGTTGTTCCCTATACAGACCGCAGTGAAGTGATTTGTGCCTTTTTTTGGCTACCGATTTCATATTATCCATGGTTATCTATTACATTTACATGGCTATTGTTAAGGCTTGTGTGAATGGGAATTCAGTGGTTCTGTCTCAACCACTAAATGTTTACCATATTTAAAATTTCGCTGGTACGGGGCAGGCTTAGGTGGTTCGCATGTACACACTCAATGGGCCCATTGGCGATTCGGCCATTTAACTAAATATCGCATTATGTTAGAGAGCTTGGAAGCAGGTCGCGTGAAGGCGGCCGCGGAACACTTCAAATTTAAGCTATACAAACTATAAACAGTTGATCAATCGCTGCTGTTTCACAACGTTCATTAATGACAAATTGACTAAAATCGTCAGGAAGTTTTTCTTTAAGAAATGTATAGTCATTCTAGATCTTCCTTGTTTACAGCTGCTTCATTCCTGCCTAAGACTTGCCAATAATAGCTATTATCGATATTTCGAGCACCATCTATTAGAGTTTATAAATAGGATGAAAAGATCACTTCGGCTTATAGCCGAACGTGTCAATAGCGATCGGTCTTTTTTTTTATTTCGTAAGTACGAATTGTTGTTTTTATTATCGTTGTAGCTTCAAGGTTTGTGCGGCAGTGGATAGATAGGGTCGCTGATCCGTTCAGAAGTTCGTATATATAAACGTGACGCTACTGGGGACGTGGAGCGATATTGCTGCATGCGAATTTTCGTTTGTACCTTCTACTGGAGTTTGTTAACGCTGGCCTAAGTCGTCAAGCATCGCTCTAGGGTGACTGTAGCCACACGAAAAGCCCTGCAGCATTTGGCAACATTTCCTTGTTTTGGCACAGTTAGGCAATATAATGGTCACACATTGCGTCCCCATGTGAACTGTTATTCTATTTATTATTCTAATTGCAATTCTAAACTCCGGATATGATCTTCTCGCTCCCAAGTTCTTCATTAGCGATTCGAGGTTCATTGTTATCTCGCATGATATCTCGCGGATTCACCAAAAGCGTTTGTTCTCGCCAAGCATGTAGTTCCTGCCCTTAACATACGAAGGCAAATGCTGTGTTGTTGTGTGACCGACGCACATTACGGAATTAACCGTTTTGAATGAGTTGTGTATTACTTGTGATTTGTCGGCGCTGCTCATTATCCGTGTGTGTGTGTGTGTGTGTGTGTGTGTGTGTTCGCTAAGCGGCGATGCATAGTTTCACGATTGTGTGTTGTCATTACCATGTACCTCCTTTCTATTTCCTCTGTGAAACATCGTCACAGCGTGCCATGGGACGCGTTCTGATGTTGTTGCTGGCCGTTCTAGTTGACGGTTATTTTTGATGACGCTGATGATCTCGTAGATGCTGCTGCTGCTGCTGCTGCTTCTAAATGGCAAGGAGATTGTGCACCAGCAGCGCTGAACCCGCCAGCAACCAACCCGTTTCCCAAGCATCAACGGCTTATTGACTGTGTGCTGCTGTCGGTAGCGGCGACTCTTTCCACGTCTTCCTTGACTAACACTGGTGGCGGCGGCGGCGGCGGCGGCGGCGGCGCCGCATCACGCGCGAGAGGGTGACGACGAGCGCGCGGCCTCTTGGCGTACCGCTGCGTCTGCTGTTGTTGATGTTTGTTGTTGTTTTTGCTGCTGCTGTAGATACACACGCACACGCCAGTTGCCACAGCAACGGCGGCGATGCTTAGGCCCCCTTGGGCTCTACTGCTTAGGGCTGCTTGTTCATTGCCAGCCTAGCGGCTGCTGTCTCGGTGGCTGATGGACTGTATTCGTGCTGCTGATGCTGCTGCTGTCGCCGCAGCCGCCAGCATCACCAGCTGTCGTCGTCTTCGCATCCACCACAATCGACACGATCACTGCCGACGACAGCCATCGCAACTGCGGCACCATTAGCAGCATCGCTGTGGTCGCGGCCAGTCGCACAACACTGCGCAGCGGAACACCAGAGCCACGACAGGACCGCATCACCTCTAGCTGCTGCGGCCACTCCGAAGATGAGAAGGACCACTTAAGACTACTTTTACCTCGAGTTGTCTCAGTATCTGCAGTGGCAGCGCTCGGTCCTGTTCCCACTGCTGCCGTTGGCGCAAGTGAATGCGACAGTTACGTCTATCTCCTATTAGGACTAGCGTTCCTAGCACTGCAACACTATCGAGCGCCGTTGACAACAACGAATCCCATCCGTCGTGGCGTCGGATGGAATGCCGCCCAACGTCGCATGACTGCAAGTAGGTGCAGGACAACGTTAGCCAACACTGTAGCCGTATTTCCTACCGGAAAGATCAAGGGAGACTATAGGCACGCGGCCGTGAGGAACGGCAACAACAACAACAACAACAAGCACATCGAAAGAGAACAGCCTCGAACGGCGATGCCATTGCGAGCTGAGTAGAGACTTAGGATCACTCCAAGTAGTGGAAATTGCACTAGGAATAGCCAACAGTCAACTACTGGAACGGCAACGCTGCTCGCCGTTCACCGTCTCAGCCGTTCTTTCTTTCTTTCTTTGTCTTAATATCACTAAAGGCAGAGAAGGAAAGACCAGCGATGAACAGCCAACGTTGGCCAGTAATCGCGACTAGAGTAACGAATCGGCGCCGCGGCAGCGACGCGAACGATAGCTGCTATTGACTGGCATCAGTGTATTAAAACGATGGTGGCCAGCCCCGACGGTTAGCGTTGAGCAACGAACGGTTGCAGCAGCAACGACGACGCCGACGGTGTAGCGAGTGCCAGCAGGAAGGCAAACGGAGCTGGAATAAAGCGGAACGACAATTGCCTCGGTAAGACGGCGGAATCGATCCGTCTGTTCTACTCAGCCGAACGATCGTTCCCACTACAGCAACGAGCGTCTATTCTAGTCAGAGGAGAAAGCGGGAAAAATGGAGCTAAGCTCCAAGTTCAAGCGTCAGAGTTGAGTTTATTGCACTTTTGTAGATTTACTGCTACATCAAACGAAAGAACAATGCCGCTATAGACAGTAGCAATAAAAAACAGTTGCTACCGGCACGAGTAGGATTCGAACGCGCGTAGTGAACCGTGCTGTCCGAGAAACGGACGCCAGAGAGCGACTGCCTTCCACAGAGATTATGCAAGCTAGGAAAAAAAACGATAGTGAAGATAGAGACGAGTGATAGTACATTGTCAGCAGTCGCAACAGAAACGTAGCCAGTAATAATAATAGTAGTAATTGAAGTAACTGCACCAACGAGGTCACAACGATCCAGACGAAGCAGTAGATAGCATCAGCAATAAACAAGGCTTCCTCAACGTTTACAACAATCATTTCCGCCACCGCAAAAACGACGGCCAACGCACTACATTAATAATGCAGTAGTGATAATATTTTGTGTGTTTCTAAAAATAGTTGGTTGAAAGCTATTGGCGACTGCCAATGTAGTGGATATATAAGCCAGTTTGCATCCTAACGCACCTCCATAAGCTGAACACTACCCACAAATTTATATGATTGCCTCCCGATCGCCATCTGCCACCATCATCATCATCGTCGTGGTCACAGCAATCCTCGCGGCTGCAGCTACGACTACATCTGGTGACGACGTCTGGAGGTAAAAACAGGTCAAACAACGTCTGACGCGCCGCTTTGCCGTGTGTTGGCGCTGCTATTTTGAACCAGTTAAGAAGAGCTTTTTGACTTGCTCTCGTCGCTCGCTCAGCGCAGTATCATCTGTCTGTTGATTCGTTCGTCCGTCCGTCCCTCGCGATAGAGCTGTCGCTATTGCCGCTGCAGCAAAACAGACGACGACGGGGGTGGAAGAGATCGATGAATGCTAGACGCTTGCAGGCGACTTGTGGACAACAAATGTACGGAGACACGGGTGTACTCACACATCGGATGCAGTAGATAGACAACAGACCCTCCAGGCCGTTGGTGAGGAGCAGCAAATAGCCAAAGAATGCTGCTGGTTGATACTCTTCATATTCGTTCATTGCTGCTGCTGCTGCTGCTGCTGCTGCGTTTTGTCAGCAGAAAGCAAGACAGTGTAGCCCGAGAATAGCAAACTCAACGGGGCGGCCAACGGTGCGTGGCACACACATACGCACGACGACGACGACGAACGCACACGGCCGCCTACAGCTAACTGCACTCTCACAACGATTCGTTGACGACGTTGAGCGAGCGAGCGAACGAACGAACGACTGACTGGCGGGCAGGCAGATAGGCCACCTAAGAGTGGCCGAGCTGCCACTGCCGCCAGCACCGTCGCCGTCCGCTAGAGGGTGAGTGACTTGTTGGATGGTCGCTGACACGAAGCGTCTCAGCATGGACTAATTAGCGAAGTTGTTCATACATCTCATTCGCAACTGGCTATTACCACGACTGAGTGTAACGAGCTCTATACGAACAGTGCCATCACCGCTGCCCGCTATTGACCATTGCTCAGAGGATCGCCATACACGACGCGTCTGCGACCATGATCAGGAGAGACGTTGCGCGGATGTTTCGAAACTAATGGCAGAGTAACTAGCTTCCCCCCAAAGCTTCCGTAGCCCCACTTTCGTTCTGTTCGCATCATCTTTCTCCGTTGATGCGCCATTACGAGTCGCTCGTCCCATGGTATCCAGCCGTCTCACCGAAGTCGCCTTCCTCCTTCCCGTTTTCTTCGTGCTGTTAGCAGCGACGGTACCGCCGTCCATGCAACATGACCGGTGTTGGGTCTTCAGGCAACGGTGCGATCTAGCTACGGTCCTGCGTAATCCTCCAACCTCACTGTGCACTTACTTCACATCGTACCTTGCTTGGCTTACTATCAGGCTCATATCATGAAACCAGTCCAAATGCATTCTAGATCGTGGGGTTAGAGCACCCGTTGTCGTTGCCTGAAATCCCAAATTCGACCGATTCGAATTCAACTAAAGCTCGAGAAAAAGTATCCCAACAGTGTGAATGGTTGTGACCGTGTGGATCCGGCCAGAGGAAACGAGTGCGCGAGTGAATCCTATGGCTAAGCGGTGTCACGCGTGTGCCGAAAGCAGCGCGTGAGTAACCGGCCAACAATCGGTAGGTCCACCGCCGAACAGGCTGACGGACGGACAGACAGACGAACCAACAAACTGTGTAAGCAGATGTCGCCGCATTGGCCGTTAACAACAAACAAGGAATCTCAAGCAAAAAAAGTGGCGATTGCTTGAAAGCTTAGTCCCCCGGATTACTGCGGTTGGAAGGTATTGTTCTCCGTCGATGCCTTTTTCCAAGTCACAAAAGACTGAGCCACTTTTTCATTCTATCATTATCGATATTATTACACTTAATATAGAAGGTAATGGGGCATCTGATTTCACTAAGCGACTAACAAAAGGTATGGCAAAGAAATACATATATGATAAGAAAAAGGGTCAGCAAACGCAAAGTGATTTTTTTTATGTTATGAATCCAGCGGTTGTTCTCGTCAGAGGCAGTCATTGACAAGATAAATGGATTTTCCTCACCTGTCATCGAATTGCCCCATGGAAACACGAAGAAAAACGGCACAGGGCGAAACTGGTACAGTCGAGGAACAAAGTGTGTTCATTTGAGTACACCGTGTGTGTGTGTATGTGTGCGTGCGTGCGTGCGAGTATATATGTGTTTTTGTGTGTGTATGCACGTGTAAAATGGAGAGAGGAGTCGGTACGCGGCGGTTACGGACCGCTCTTAAGTATCGGTTAGCTTGAATTGCTCACAAAATGTATGAACCCCCGTGATCTTCGAATTCGTTGAGAGTTTGTAACAGCTTATTGGCATAGCATCTGATTCAGTAAACGATTGTTACGTTACTGAAGTTACACTGGAACTTATACGATAGGCGTATCATTTGACGGTTTTAATGCAGTCGAGATCATCGAATTATTTCGAAAAGGTCTTTTGCGAAACTAAGTGACTGGCGGCGGTATTCGAGACAAGCATGTGAATGAATGAGTGTTACTGGATGAAACATTGTTGTTTTTAAAAGCTGGATTTGATCCACATTTGCTGGTACACATACGGGTCCATCTTTTCTTTTGTTTACCATCATCGTCGTCGTCGTCGTCGTCGTCATCACCATTATTTATCATCGTTTCTGATTCTCTTGAACAGGAGTCGGCAGTGAACGGTATTTTGTAACATCGATTTGTGCCCCCTGTGTATGTGCAAGACTCGTTCTATTCAACGCCAGTGGCGATTGGAAATTTCGAGCGACCCCAAATCATGCGATCAGTCGGACCGCATCAGCGAATACTGAACTATCTATCTTCAGATTTACGTCAATCAGATTGTTAGATGTAGATTGATCTGAATATAGAGGTCAAGTGAGAGGAACTGCGAAGGGGATCAGTAGCGACAGTCGTTCAAATTTACAAACTTATTCTATCGCAACAATCATTCGGGAAACAATTGTCAGACACAATGAGATTTACGGCAAACATTAGAGCTGCTGATGTAAGCCAAACATTTGAATACTAACAGTGTTATTGTGAACTAACTTGAGCTTGGTCACCTTTGTCGATTGATTCGAATCCACTACCTACGTGTCGGCAAACCTATTGCTACGTTTACAACAAGTGGGACATTTATGTGTCTGTGTCATCAGCGGAAACAAACGAAAAACACCGGGGTACTGCCTCCATCTGGCCGCGTTTGCTACATCCAACTGTGCCTGCATATACGTTCATCAGGATCGTGTCTGTACATGCGCACGACCGTTGACGTGATAGTTGATCCGCTGTGACGAATCATCTTACCTTCCGAGAATCAAATCGTTATCAATACTACTATAAAAGACACCGGCATTGTCATTATCCTTCGATCAACGAAGTTTCACCAGGCGGTCTAATAGCAGCAGCAGCAGCAGCAGCAGCAAAGGAGCCGGAGGTACGGAGGTGGACTGCCTTGACTTTCTAAGCTCATCGTTAGTATCGGTCGTGCGTGTTTTTGCTTGCTCGAGTTCCAATAGTCGGGGTTACTGCCTGCACCATTGTTGTTGCTCAAAGACTGCCGCCGTCTGCGTAGACGTCCGAGAGCAGAGCGCACCTGCACGAGAGTTTGACGCATACAACGACAACGACGACTTGCGGCCAGACGGTGGTCGCCTTGGCGCGACCCCCTTCGCTCAGCCGAAGTGGATCTCTTGGGCTGTGCTGGAGGGCGACGGGGGGACAATGCCAGTAGCAAGAATAACGCCGCTGCCAGCCGCGGCGGCACTGGGATCACCGCCGCCACTGCCACAGAGAAACGTCATGCGCCTGAGCGTAAACAGCAAAAGCAAAAACAACAACGACGAAGTGCTGCTGCCGCAAGCTGCACCGCACATCAATACAACACCTCCTCATCTGACGTCATTGCTTTCGCTGGTACCGCAGTGGGTCCCGTGTCCCCGAGGTATGCCACTGCTGTTGCGCCCTCCACGGCCAGTGTTTCTCCTGACATCGCTTCATACGGTGAGTCCAGAACGATTTTTTTTTAAAGGAAAACTGGTTGAGTTGTGTTGTGCAGGTTAGTAATTGTGCGGCCGACTAGTTGGATACAGAGGGAAAAGTTGAGGGAGAGACGCCGAGAATGGCGGTAGTAAAAAAGGTTTGTAGCATCGACACGCAATGACACGATAAACAGCGCCTGTTACGGCCGCTGCCACGGGGTGTAGGAGAAACGGCAGGAAGGGGAAAGCAGTCCTATACAGGTGCCGCTCTGTTCATTCTGTAGTGTTACCTCCATTGCGGCGATCAGTGCTGGGTGCGGCACTGTCGACGACGACGATGAGGAGGGGAAAAGGAAGTGGTGCAGTAACTCAGCTCGGCGCTGCACAGCGTGGAGTTCTGGCTTCCCTTGGTAAGGTTGAACAAAGAGTACAGCCGGTAAAAGAGTTTGAGAATTGTGGTGGCGAGACCGAGGGAAGTGGCTGGCGGGCTTCGTTTGCTTCTGGCCTCTGCATGGGGTGGTCGTAGATGCGGCGATGGCGGCATAAGCAACAACTGTACTGCTTGCAGTGTTAGTTAGTGTGTGGCTGAATATATGTCTAGAAAGCAGAATGGCGGCAGACTGAGACGGCTGGCAGGTATAGAGGAGCAAAGCGAAGCAGAACGCATCGCATGTTCGATGACGACGACGAAGGTTTTGAGGGTGAGGGAGATCCTTTCGGGGTTCGCAAGGCCTGTGAGAAGCTGTGGACAGGGAGTGGGTGGCCATGAGAAAGGGTAACAGGCAAAAGAAGGTCTGTTACGTTTTGGAAGGGCTTTCTCCTCTCGGAGGGCAAGGGGAGCGTGGGAGAGGTTAGTGGTGGACAACGGCGAGTTGATAGGGAAGACAAGACTTATGGGGCCTCGCGAGAAAATGACAGTCTGAGAAGGGAAAGGGCCCTCGGATCCAGGCGGATGGACAAGGCGCGCGGGAGCGCGAGAGGCCCGCCGCGATGGCTGATGGTGGGGACGGCGCGGGAATATTGGGGCTGATAGTGGCGGTACAAGGATAGACGACGCCATCTTGCTGTGGCGGTGCCGCTGTGGTTGTGCCAGCAAAAGAGCTCCCCGCTCGGTCGCTGTCCTGCCTAGCTGGTGGTGAGATTGGCTCCAGGCGCAGGCTAGACGGACGGACAGACGGGTGGACGGACGGACGGACGGACGGACGGACGAACGAACGAACAACCGAACAAGAGGCCGACGGTAGCGCGCGGACGTCAAACAGTCAGGCCCGAGAACGAGCCTGCTGCTGCTGCTGCTGCCTGTCTGCTCTCTTTGCGTCTGCGTGTATCTGTTTGTCTGTCGTCCGGTGGCTCGATCGACACTCAGCGGTAGTTAGTCGGTTCGTAGCCGGTTAGTTGGGGGCCTAACCGCTGTCATTATCATTTATCTATTTATCCATGTATCTGTTTCTGCTCGTTTTTCGGTTTCTGTACATCCGTTTTCTGTTTTACTTCTGCTGGTGGCAACCGGAGTTCGCTAATCTGTGCGCCTGTCTGACTGCCTGTCCGCTGTTTGTCCCCTCGCCTACAAGTGCTGCCCTGCTATATCTGCGTTACGAGGCCACTAGCGTACCACATTAGACGGCAGTGCTGCTGCTATATCACACTAAACTCGTAGAGATAGAAACAAGGGAGAGGGACAGAGGGAGAGCGGGAATGGAAAAGCCGAAAAGAGAACGAAAAATCTTAAGAAAAGCTAGCTCTGCTGTTCAACGTTGTCCAACGTATTTTCGTAGTGAGAAATGAGCCACCAGACGCTTACTCTAACGCTTCAAATTACTCCAGCTGGCAGCAGCAGCAGCTTCTACGACGATATTTGCGAGCGCGGCGAAGGTGGTGCGTGCGTGTGCCGATTGGCTGGATGCACCAAGCACAAGTGCTACTATCATCAATAGCGCTACTACGTTTACTATAACAACAGCTCGTATTGAATATACCGTAGCGGAAAGCATGCGTGAGCAACAAAACAAGCAGTGTGAACGAAGACCAGCATCGTCGTTGTAAAAATCGCAAATCATTGCAAAAGCAGCAGCAGCAGCAGCAGCAGCAATAACGACAACAACAGCATCAAAAGTATCGGAATCGCAAACGCAAACGACGACGGCGACGACGACGACGACGGCGACGGCGACGACGGTAGCGGTAGTGGTAACGGTTGCGACCAGCGTCAAGCAACGGAAAGACAAGTGTGTATGTGTGTCTATATGTGCGCACGACAAGGAGAAGTGGAAGTTTAAAGGTGTAAAATTGGAACAAGGTACTTGTTCAACAAGGTTGCTTGAATGCCGATACATTTAGTTTAACCAGGACCTGTGAGGCGATAAGAGTGTGAATAAATAAAACCTGGATGAAGCCCGAGAAACATCAGCCTCCTTCATTATCCAACACCATCTTGCATCGATGAGACGGTATCTGTGATCATCATCTCGTATTAGCAAACACAGAAAGGAGAGGACCGAGAGAATATATAGGGGACAAAGGAGCTCTGTACAGCGTAGCTCCCTGCTTTTGCTGGTGATAATTTGGGTTGTGTTTTAGGATAAGGTCTCGCGTTAACGAGACAACGATTTCAGTTGGGGTCATTCGACCAGAAATCTCGCGTCTATCGTGCCTGGCGACAACGGCAACAGGGGCACACGAGACATTGTCCAGGGGCCAACTGTTGCCACGTTCCGAGCTCGGCCGTGTCCATAGCACTTGTGTGTTAGCTAGTGGAGTGACCTTAGTACTCATATCAGAAAAAGAAGAAAAAAGTTGGAAGCTTCAGTTTTTGGGGACTGGCGTCACAGGTGACGACCGGTACGTTACAACTAATGTAGGTTTCCGTGCTTCTTGTATGCATCGCTTCACCTCCGTAATAGCTGCTGCAGTTGTTTGTTATTGTTGCCGCTGTTACTGATCCTTAATCGTCATCGGAATCGCGATGACGCCGTTGCCACAACGGATAGTGGCTGGTGTACGGGTACTACTATTCCGCCAGACAATCCGGTGTTGCGCGCCGTAGATCAAAGAGCGGAAGTGCCAATAGCTGCCGTGACGGTATTTGTTGGAGTAGTAAGACTAGAAAGAGCGTATGCAACATAAGTATAGCAAGTACAAGAGCGACAAAGGAAAAACAAACTAAAGGAAACCAACACACCAACCACAAAAAGTACTGAACACCATCGCGAATCGTATGCTACTTGAAGCTTTTTTTTGAGTATGAGTAGTACTATTAGAGACTGGCAACCTAGTTACGCACTATAGTCAGCAATCAAACGGCTGGCCGAGTGCGCAGACCTCGTAGATGCAGCAACCTGTAACTGAAGGCTGAAGCCAAGTAGCATTCGTCTGTCAAACGAGAGTAGGAAATCGGCTTCAAAGCTGTTCGTTTTACAGTCTGGCTTTGTCATTCAGCCAGATTGTTTATTTCGTTCTTTCTCCCTCGTGCTGCTACTGCGTGGGCGGTAAGCAGTGAGCGGCGTCGCGGGAGACTCTAAACGCCCATTATGGAGCCATGAGATGCGGCCGGTCGCCCCCACGTTGCCAGCGCAAGTCGCGGCCCGAGTCGCTGCAATTACCGTCGCTGCAGTCACTTCCGAAGATACCGGAGCCGTCGAAGTCGTCCGTGTCGCAGTCACCCTCTGAAACGTCTGACGCTCGACGCCCACTAAAGAAGCTAGAGGACCGCTTTGACAACGAAGATTTCAGACTGTGCCGTCGCTTCCCTTCGATCTCGTGGGCTGAGTTCAGACGAACTGAAGATTTAAAAAGATTCCAAGCGCCAGCGAATTCAGGGTCGAAACGGCGAAATCGAAAGCTACGCAAAGAATTCGAACACCAATTTGCTGTTGGTAGTAACCAGAGGTCCGAAAAGGAAAGCAGAGATTCTCAGGGGTACCAGCTGCACGAGAGGTTCGAATTCGTGTCTGACGAAGTGTGCAGGGGCAGCTACGAGGGTTACGATAAATCAGTAGAGACGCAACGTGAACCCGCGGCGGCAGCGGCGGCGGCGGCGGCCGCCACAGCAACAACAGCGGCAACCGCAGGAGCTATTATAAAACAAGAACGAGGGCACCAGCGCCGGCGGTCATTATTGAGTGCAACGCTGCACTGCGTCTGGAGCCCGGCGTGCGGGCAGGCCGAGTGGGCCAAGCGGCGGCGTCGTCGCCGTCGTCGTCGTCGTCGTTGTCGTCTTCTTTACGAGGCGAAGCGGCGGGTCGCCTGTCGTACGGCAGGCGAACGGGTCTCACTCCAGACTGCCGGAGCGGCCGGAGCAGCCCCGGGGAGGCATCACGCCCCCCGAGGCACCAAACCCCTTAGCCACCTACGTATCCTCACCCGAGCCCCAACAACTGCAACAACAACCACCAACGTCGTCGACCTGGCCGCGAAAGCCGCCAGTCCCGCTATCGTCTCAACAACAAAAGCACAAACCACAACAACAGCAACAAGAAAAACATCTTTCACAGCAGCAGCAACGGTCTCCACAAGAGCATCAGGCTCACCTGCCGCCATCTACGGCTGCTTGCGACGGTCGTCTTTCACCGGTGCTCAGTGCCTGCGAAAGAATCCTTCGACATTGCGCCTGCTGTCCCCGCTGCCGAGGTACGACTATTCCGTTATTATAGCAAAAATACAAGTACCACTACACAGCAAGAACAACAACGATGGTCCCCATTCCTAATGTTAGGGGGATGCTATACCTCACTATACAAATGATGACGGAGATAAATACATAATAGATACACTTGTATGCTTACTAGATAAGTAAATACGAACGCTTGTTTGACGTCTGTCCATAGAAAAAATCTGTAATTGTATACGGTACTTTTTTGGATTCGTAGTATGCAAAGTTCAATGTGCAACAGAATACGCATAAAATGCAATATGCCGGTAAATGGCGGCAAGTGTCTATGGCTCTGTCAATTGCAGTGTGCCCTGGTTCGAAAGGTCCAATTGACTATGCGTGGCCTAAAATTAAAGCTTTACCTATTTTATAAC